CATTGTTGACCCAAGTCTATTTTGTAAAGAGTGAATAGCTCCATGTTACTACATCTGTACCTATACTTGTAGATGCAACATGAGCATTAGGCTGACAGATGTTACCACTAGCTGACTTAAAGAATAAAAACATTCCAGTAGAAGATTTCAATTGTTCATATTCTGGTCATGTTTGAAAGCTGAAAATACTTGAAGATTAGTAAATTAATAAACTTATTTGATTATAGATTAATTTATATTTAAAGAACTGATTATGGAATTTTATTCAATATTTCATGCCAATTCTATATAACATATTACAATGTCATGTAGGTCTGAGATAAGGCTCTTATTATACATAACTTGTAATTTAATACCATTATATAGTGGTATCTCAATGGGTTATGACAATGGTTACCAGACTGCCACTTGGTAACCTGTCATTGAATCATTTAAAAAAGTTAACATATATGTTTCTGAGTTTTCAGTTCTGTACTTGATTCTTTGGTTACTTTAATGAAGAAAAATAAAAACATTCAAAGTAGATCAACTCTGGGTCAATTGAGATCAGCCTTTATTATTAAAAAGAGGTGTACATCATTTAGGATTAATCTGAATCACTGAATAAATAATTAAAACCAATGTCTTCCACTTTAAAAATACACTCTACATGTACAATGTTTTGACGTCCTCTACGTCATCTTCAAAAGTTATCTGCAAGACATACTAATTTATAATTTTTTTTTCTGCCATGTGATATTACATTGCTTTTGTATTTGCATAATTCCTTAGTCAACTTTTACATTACATTACACCACATATTAATGCTTTGACTTGATGGTTCTTCATCTCTGTTTAATACTTATTTTATATTTTATTATTTCTAGTGATTCTCTGACATTTAAAGCTGTAATGTTACGAGGTTGAGCTCAAATTGTAATAGTTTTTTTTTCCATAAAATCTTGTTTTGTGTTGTTTTTACATGTTCTGCAATAGGCGAGTTTACTATTTTATTATTTCTTACATAACCTTTATGTTCGTGTAATCTGTATCAAAATTCCTTTTAGTTTGAGCAATATAAATACTTTTACATTCACATTCTATTTCATAATCCCAGTTTTATCTTCTAATTCTATTTTATCTTTAGTACTCCCCAACATTTCTTTAATCTTATTTATATGTTTAAAGATTGGATAAAAAGTGTTGTTGCTTCTTAAAACCTTTAAATAATTGACCTGTTAATCCTGGAATATAAGATAAATATAAAGTTTATTTTTCCAACAGATCTTAATGTAGTATGTTTAAGTACCATTAAACCTTTGTTAAATTTCTTAAATGTTCTATCTACTATATTTGGTTCAAATTCTCTTTCAACAGCTACATATTTAATTAATAACAGTTCATTACTTAAATCTTCCTGTTTTGAACATATTTTTAAAGCTCTGTAAACATATGTATAAAATGCAGAGATTTTTTGCATTTTTATATGACATGATAACTGGTGTGGTGGCATAACAACAGCAAAGGATTTTCTATAAACTGATGTTTCCATGTTACTACGTATTTCTTTTTGACTAGTACATTAATGTAAGCTTTATTATCTTCAATTTCTTATGTGAATTGAACTGATGGTTCTTTACTATTCAAATAACTAGAAAATTCTTGTAGCTTACTGTTGCCATTTCAGAGAATCACTAGAAATAATAAAATTTAAAAAAAAAATGAAGTATTAAACAGAGATAAAGAGCATCAAGTCAAAGCATTTATATTTGGCATGATGTAATATAAAAGGTTGAGTAAGAAATTAGGTAAATACAAAAAGCAATGTCATATCATGTGGTAGGAAAGAAAAATGTATAAATTAGTATGTCTTGCAGATAACTCCTGAAGACGATGTAGAGGGCATCAAAACATTGTATGTGTAGAGTGTATTTTCAAAGTGGAAACCATTGACGGCTTCAATTAAGTTTTTGAAATTGTGTAAATATGAAACATTGGTTTAAAATATTTATTAAATTTCAGACAATACACAAGTGCTCATAATTCATATTTAAGCTTAATCATTTTGAATCAAATTGATAAAAATGGGTGAATCACACTGTCAGATCAAAACAAAGTGATGTAAAAAAAAGAACAACAACAACAACAACAAAAAATACTGGATAAAATACAAAAACAATGAAAAATAATCAATATGACAAGATACAGTATTCTTCTATTCAACTATTTACTACTTTATCACAGTTTATCACGGCTAAACTTCAAATTTACATGGCTACTGCCTTAGTTAATTCTGAAATTCATGACACAAGACTGTGCCTAACTGATACTGCTGAAAAAATATTCTTCAAATATTGTCAAGGATGTTAACACAAACAAAATGTTCTTTGGATTTTGTCAAAAAAACACTTGAAAAAACAATATTCTCAGCTTAAAACTTCATTTATAAATTAATCAATTTATCAAATAAAATATAAAGATGTAGATTCAAAGTTGGATTGATAAGTATACTTAAAACAACAGCTTAGAGAATACTTTAGTCTAGATTAAGAACTGACTCATACTCCTGAAGAATTGTGCTTTTCAACTTATGCTTAACATGACCCACATATACTTGATTCGACTTATATTTCCCAGCTAGAGGCATAAACTGCCAGTACATGTACATGTTTAAATCACTTGTTTAACTATGCAGTATTGTTCTTATGGCATCCCAGAAAATGTTTTGTCTTAGACCTGTTCTGAGAATAAAGTAGGCATGCTGAAAAATACTCTTCAAATTTGAATTCAGTTATTCAATTAAAGGTAAATTACCCCTGTGATGGAAATTATATCACCACTTAAAGTCCACTGAATTTACAGACAAAAATGCATAATCGAAAATTAGAGTGTTTAATTTTTATTTCTTCTGCTTAATGACTACTTAAACTATTTTATACTAATAATTTTATTCCTATCCATAATATAATTTTCTTGTATAAACTAGAATAATGGAAAAAAACTGATAATGTTTGTCTAATGTTTTTACACTATAGTGAATGATCTATTTAAACTTTGAATATCAACTTGTGATAAATACTTAGTTACAATTAAATACTAAATAATTCCACCTTTAAATGCTTTCAGATTTATCTTTCACAATTTAATGAATCTAAATTATGTTTACAAATACTGTCATTTTGACTTACCAGACATAACACTTTTCACTGATGGTTCTCGCATATTGAATATATGAAATATGCACTTGCAGACTTGGCAGTATGCTTTATAAGCATCTTCATCATGTGCCAGTCACTCAAAATACTTCTTTTTCAATCCAAATATCATGAAATTTAATTTTCCCCATTGCTAGGATAAGCTAAGTTATTTAGCATCTTAAGAAACTGAACACTTTGCACGAAGGCCTATGCTGTCCAGTCCATTTACAAATGCTTAGTTACTTTGACATTAGAAATGAAGTTTCTGATTGGCTAACACAATTACTTACCATTGGTCATTCCAGGAAATAAATACCAAACCATAAGTATGCACTTACAATTTCATGCAAGGATTTCAATATTCATTGTAATTACAGGCTATTCCCAAGATGTGTGCAAAAATATTAAGTATTTCCAGCAGATTTATCATGAATAAAATTCTATACTTCTCCAGAACTTCCAGCTATATTTAAACCCTACCTATGCTTTGTTGAGTCTCACCAACCTGGATGTCTAATAAATAATTCATATAGCTTTCAACTATGCGTTTTAGAACACAATAAATGTATCTGTCATTAGAGTCGAACAATGAATATCTCCAACTATTATAATTTAGTAAGCTTTATAAGTAAGCTACAGTTAAGTTAAACAAATTCTGTTAGCCATATGTAGTAGCAGTACATTGCTGAACAAACAAGGAATCGCTCATAAATTAATAATATTGGCATAAAAACAAAACACGGATAGATAACATCATTTACAAGAAGTCTACTCTTCCTATTGGTTATAAACATGTCCATCAGCTGGGTAAAATTGATTATCACACAACCTCAAAAGTCAGAAAGGGAAGAGGCTTCTCTGATAGCTTTGACAGCTTTATTGCTATCTGAGCAAATTTTAAGATTTTTGCTGGCAATTATGTATAGTTTGTATTTCTAATTGGTTAGAAAATTCGGATGTGGGGAAAAAGGAGTTCACAGATAAAAACAAATTTTTCAAATGTTTCTTTTAGAAATTAAGATGTGAATACTTACATAATAAAAAATTTAAATTATAAACTGTGTTTTCAAGGCAAGTTTATTGAAATCAATTGATAATATAGTTCAATAAGACATATAATGTAACACAGTAAAAGAACATGACATGTGCACTTGTGACGAAGATGAAGTAGAAATGTTAATTACTACTTACCACATTAAAAAAGTGATACGGAACTCTGAGTATTCTGTTTTTTTAAAGTATGCTGAGGATCATGCTGAAGATGAGGATTCACTTGAATAACTGGTTTGAAACAGAACCTGCATAATATATAGCTAGGAAACATGCAACAAAAAAACTTTAATTTTCTGTATATAATTCAGTTTCTTAGAAAAAACATATAAAATTGAACAATTACAAAACAAATTAAGGCTATTTTAGGAAAAAACCAACTTTTTGACAACATTCTTAGATATTTTGGTAAAATCCCCAAAATCTAGGAATTTTACCAATGCTTGAAAGCCTGCAACACATATGAAGCAATTGAGGATTTTGAGGAATTCATGCTTGTTGTTTAAACAACTCTATTCAATTATGTACCAGCTACCTAGTGTCGGCTAACAATACGAAGAATTAAATTGTGGTGGAATGCTACAAGTTCTTCAAATACCTATAGAATGATAGGCTTCTTTTTTGTGAGTGTAAAACACTTAAATACACCATTTCAATTTTTGACACCTCACTACTGTTGGTCTGATATTTCATTGGTGGTAGTGTCTAGGGTCACTGATGAGGAGTGGAATTCTCCGAAACATTTTTCTTGGGAGAGCAAAAACAAAATATAAGAATGTAAAATGCAATACATGTGTATATAAAAAAAAAAGCATAAGAAATGACACTGTTGTTGTGAAACTAGGTCGATAAATAAATGAAGTATAAGTAGACTAGATCGCCAGCTAGAGGCTTTTGAGAGTGCGAGTTAAAAACATTCTAAGTCAAGAATGCTAGAGAGTAGTGGTATTGAAAATCATAAGTTACAAAAGAGTTATAAAAAATGAAGCTATTGCCTAGCAACAAAGTATATGCACCAGCACCAGTGACTGATGGTGATTAATTACTGACGCCAACTCATTAGTACTGTGGAGGTTACAAAAAAGTTGAAGTTAACCCGCAAAAGCAGTACTTTGATGATATATTCCTTACATGATGCTGGTGTACTAACACAAGTAAGAAGGCACCATATCAGTAACCAATCACTTGAGGGTTATGGTTTTGGAACAGTCCAATGTATTATAAGAATTAACCAATAAGGTGTGAGAACTACTTGCGGGTGGTGCTGCATACTAGTTGGGAATTCATAAGAACACAAAGGAAAAATTGTTTAAAAACTCATATTTGAGGCAGAAAATCAGTCTCCCCATGAGTTCTTACTAAGTGCTCATGAACACCATCAGTTGCTCTTAGATGATGTTGAAAGTATTCAATCTGCAACGGTACACCTCGCCAACTATGTTGTAAGTAGAATTTTCTGACTCTCAAGCTTCAATCAACGTAGTAATAGTAAGAAAGATTTATAATGTGTTAACTGATTATTGGCAGAAAGTTTACACAAGATAAATTGAAGATTTTTGCTAATAAGTGAATTGTTAAACTAGAGAAGTTATTAATATGCTTACATTTAATATTGTGATTGTGTATTGCGATATGAAGATAATTAAAGAGTATTATATTAATAACTCGGACTCAGTTTCTTTATTCTAACTGTAAGTTACCTCGAGTTAGTGACTTGTGAGCTCCACTCTCCACTTCAATCCTCAAATAAATAAATTTGGTGTAATTGGCAGTATAATTGTAACTCCAACAATTAGTCCTAAGGGCGCAGTCGACAGGATTTTTGGTGCAGCTAACGACAGGTTGTTTAGAGTAAAGAAAGGTGGAAAGTAAGAAAGTAAGCCGAAGTACTGTAAGTAGTATAAGTTAAAAATAAGTAGTAAGTAAGTGAATATGGCTATTGCTGGTATAGATATGACTACAGAAGAGGGTGGTGCACATCCTAGAGTCGTTCGAGAGACTGACACTAGCTATGAAGCTGCGTCAGAACAACCTGCACAAGTAGGTCCATGCAGCACTAAGCATTTAACGAGTGCCATACCATGATAACACGGTAGACTCGACGAGGATGTCGAGAGTTTTATTGACGCCTTGAATGAAGCTGTCAGAATATCAGGCTGGACTGATTCCCAGAAGGCAGACATATTAAGATTAAGAACAGCAAGAGAAGCAAAATGCTATATTATAGCTTATAATGAACTACATGAAACCACAGATTTTCAGTATCTAGTATGTAGATTAGTAGAGCAGTATAGGAGATGCACAATTTAACTCAGCAACAAGGCGAATCAGTCCAAGTTTTAATTAATAAAACAGCAAAATTAAGTATGTTCACTCACTTCATCTTACTTTTTTTTATCTGTTTTGAAGACACTATATAAAGTGGCCGTGACTGGTTTATTTTTTAAACAACAGGCACCACCAGTGAACATCTTTTGCTGAGACCTTCCTGGCATAGATTAATGTTACTCAATATCATGCTTGATGGAGATACATAGATTAACTAACCCTAAGTCACTGAAAGAAGGGCTAGTTTTAGAAATTAGATACACCCAATAGGCCTAGAACTAGAGATTTATGATAAACTTAAATAATAACAGTTTTTTTCAAGCCAGGCCCAATTCCATTTGTTCTCCACTGATTCATCTATTTCCTACACAGTGTTTGCATCTTTCCCTTCAACAATATTGACTGATGCAGGGCTCATTGCCATTCAATACATGCACTCAAGCATTTAACAGTTAACCTTTGCAACAGTAGGGTAGGCTTACATGTTTGGAAGAACAACAATGATATCAATTTTGGAAACCCATCACACAGCAAACACTTTCAATATTCTGGCAACCAGTGGTGAAAACACATCTGTTAATGGAAACAGTGAATTGTTTACCAGAATGCACTCCCAGTTTTGATCTATGTTTTGATTGGCTTGTCTCCAGGTACCAATTTCCAAAAATGTTCAAAGTCCTTATAACTCAATCATTGTAATTACACAAAAGTAAACAGTATACAAACAGAAATTCCCAGCCAAGATTCATACCTTACTGATAGTTATGGTCAAAGCTAAACCTACTTAAGGTGTAAATACCCCCCCCCCCCCAAAAAAAAAATAAACATTTATAAGCAAAATGCATGTCTTTAACATGAACTGATTTGCACAACTGTTAGAATATCATTCCATATGAAATAAAATTTACAGAATTTTGCAAGACTAGAGAAAGCTCATCTGTATACAAAACACTAGTTTCATTTGGAATAATGTGTGCAGTTTGGTTCTTCTTGTTTATGAAGGAATGCTGACATATTGGAAAGAATTCAGAGGAGGGCTACTAGAATGATTACAGGGATAGAAAGGTTATCTTAACCTGTTTATATAAGATACCTTTCTATCCCTGTAATCATTCTAGTAGCCCTCCCTTTTATCTTATCTTGAGGAATGAAAGTCAAGAGCCTGAGATGTGGTCTTTCTGAAGTATGAAATAATATTCAGAGGATTGATAAGATAAAGGGTTCTGATTTCTTTGCACTTTATTCTGAAGACAATAGGAATGAGAGGACAAAAGTTTTAAAAAACACAGGGAATTGACTTATATAACCAGTTGCTATCTGAAATAGTGAAGCCCAGTACTTTACAACAGCTTAAGAGGTGAATTAATGGTTTCCTGAAAAATAAATGATGGATTTAATTTTCACTTTCTTAAGCAGAGCATGCCTTGAAAGACCAAATGGTCCCTTTCTATCCTTATGTTAAATACGAAAAAAAACAACAACAAAAAAACATGCTCAATCCCATTGTTTTCTGAATAATACAGTTCCTTGTTTGTAGCCAATTGTGGTTACGGTAGCCTAGCTAATTCATAATTCTACAAAAATGTTTCTAGAGCAGTCTGTGGCACCTGCTTACTTCAGGCAACAGCTAGCATCAGTTATCCTGGCTTTTTTCATTTTCTTAAGGGGCAGAAAAAGGGAAGGAGTAGCATACACTTGTAATCAAGCTATTCTAAGTAAGGTTAATATAATTCTTCAATCTCATCTGTAATAATATAAAAATAAGGATTGAAGTTGGGTATAGAAATATATGGATATCTAAAATCTTGATCTACTTCTGACTTGTTACTTTTTGTATATGTCAAGTGTGGATATCTAAATCTTTATCTATTTATAGTCATGCCATAGTGGCACATCGAATTGCTGTCTTTTTTTTAATACAAACTTTTAGCTCATAGTCCTATCATCTCTTGACCGATTTGAGATCTAATTACAGTATTGGACTCAGGATGTCAAGCCCTTTTGATTGATGTACTTGACAATGCCCAAGGTCTCATAGATTAATTTACTCTAATCATGGCTAAAAGACTTTCAATTTGAGGGTAGGCTGGTAAAGGTCCTGATGAGTAATAAAATCAAATTGGGTATAAACATGCCCCTTGCTTGGTACTGCAGGTGCACAAAAATATAGCTAATAAAAAAAAAAAGTCTCATAGCTTAATTTACTCTGATTGATGGCAAACAAATTAGACTTCTGATGTCCACAGGCTAAGAGGAGAAGGAAGTAAGTCTTAAGGAAAAAGTGAAACAAGGAGCACATGGAAAGTGGTTCGAATGGAGGCAAAAGGAGGCAGTGAAGGACCACATTAACATCCCAGTCCGGAAAGGTAGCCCACCTCAGAGGGCGACAAACCTGGAAGGAATACATCAACAGGGAAAGCATAGGAGAGGTAAATACACTACGGTATTGGGAAAAATGAAAGGTGTGGGAAAAAGCTGCCCGATAATCCAAAATCAAGGAGACAGAAAAACCCAGATCGAAAAGCCTAGTAAGAAATTCTGCAATACTAGAAACAGTGGGTACATCAGCAGAAAACCTTTGACCTATAGATCAACTGCAGATAAACTTCCATGGAAGAGGGCAAATGGAATAAGTCAGAAATGAAGCTACTTACAGGGACAGCCTGGATCTCTTCACCAAGGACTGGATAAAATGTGAGAGAAAAAAAAATAATGACTGGGATATTAAGTTAAAGTAAAAGGTGTCTTCAATATAATGAAAAGATTAATGAACAATTCCCACTTCAAAATTGACACTGTTAAATTTACAAATGCAAAGCACACTAAAAGCAAAAAACATCTGAATACGAGTACTGCCAAATGAGAAGTGACAGTTAGGTAGAATGGAATAGAGGGAGTCACATGTGTCATGAGAGTATGTTGCACTCTTATTAGTGGAGAGATGATGCACTGGAATCAGTCAATTCCAATGGAGGGGAGATAGAAAGTTTGTGGCATGCATAACTTTTTTGCATATAGAGGGCAGCACTGAACGAGAATAGCTCTTTATGTGAACAGAGGTAGTGTACCGTATTGAGAAAAGAGAAATTTGAAAACAATTCTACAAAGAGTTCAAAAGTATGTACATATTTCCCTTCTTTAATTTTAAACATTTCATTGCCCTGTATGTTGATGATAACAGATAGTTATTGATATAGAAGAGAAAAATGGACAATAAAATATAAACATTTACCATTAAAAACTTTTGATATTGTTACAATATCATATTTTTGTAAATTTTACTTGGTTTAGTTTAGTTTGAATGGCCATTTCAAACAAAGGTTTCTGTATTAAACTCGAAAGAGTTTTCGAACCTAGATATTAACTGAAGGTTTTTGTTATAAGCTATCATTAGCTGTTAGTTTACGACTCTTAAAAACTTTGGAAGTTTAAGAATTAGTCTTAACTTTTGTAAGCCTTGTGCTTTTTGAGAACTGTTGAAAACCATTTTTTAAAATATCAACAAGTTTTTGTGCAGTTGACATCGGAACAGTGAACTTTTTGTAACTGTACATCTAGCATGAACTAGAACTTGGAATTTATAACCTGAAACTGAATTTCTACATAGGTTTTGAAGTGATTACGTTGAATTGGAGAGAGAGTTCCTATGTGGATCTACCAAGAAAGAGTGATTTTTTGTATTGTACCCTTTTGTAAATTATTGTATATAAGTTAATATTTGATGTTTGTGTTTTTTTATTTTATAATATATATCTTTAAAACTACAAAACTGCAGAGTTGTCATTTCTTTGTTTTTTATGTATTATACAGTATGGTAATACAGGATCATAACAATTGGGGGCTTGTCCGGGATATCAAATAAGATGATAGCTAGAGTTGGTTGTAAGAAATTGAAAAAATCTTTAGAATTTGTATAGTTATGCAATATATATTATTCAAGTTTTGTGTAAATTATCTAGAAAGTTCTAGACTAGATTTGTTTAAAATTTTATTGTGTGAATGCTCAAACTCGATTTTAATTTGAAAATAATTTATAATTTATTTTAGTATAAAATTTTATGAATATATTTAAACAATAAGAAGTTAGTTTGAAATGGCTGAAAATTTCAGTGTTGAAGAGTTTTTGGAAGCACAATTTATCGAAAGAGAAGAACTTTTGAAGTTGAGAAAAGATCAGTTGAAAGAATTATGTAAGAAACTTAACTTGACAGTACCCGTATAGGCAAATAATCAAAATTTTGGAATTAGGCCTAGCTAATTTAAGTAAATACAAGAGAAAAGACTATATCAATGATAAGTCACAAACTGAAAATACTAACTCTGAATCTTAAAATTCCTAAAATGTGTAAAATCCAAATCTGACTTTTGAACAAATTATAGAAATAAAAATGCTTCAATTTGAACAAAGACAAGTAGCAGAAGATATCAAATTTGAACAACAATTAAAACTTGAGAGAGACAAAACAGAAAGAGAAATAAGACTAAAATAGATTGAAGTTAAAGGTCAAAGAAGTCGTTCTAAATCTGGGGATCAAGCAATAGGATATAAAAAAAAGATTGTCTAAGGGTGCCTGACTTGATCAGACATTAAGATACATTAACTTTATGTCTTAAAAGTTGAATTTGCTCAGGGCATTGAATGTTCTGTCTTTTAACCTATTGGGTTTTGGCTTCTAAATGTTTTAGAAGATAACGTTGCTCTCGTAATATTTCGTTCCAAAAATAAAACTAGTGGATGCAATTGTTTAAAGTTTCACAAAAACGTTCCTAAAAATATGTAGTTTTAGAAAAATAAAATATTTATTTTTATTTTTTCTCCTATTGTAATGAAATATATTCGTTATTTATTGTAGTTATTTGCACTCAGGCTCTGAATAGTTCACTTGTAAAGTGATTTTTATATAAAGTATGAAAATACTACTTATTAACTTACATTTTTCACATTTCATTTGCTTAATCTCTAGAACCTCATAAATGAATATTGTTATGATCATGTATTACTGTATTTCTTTCAGAATTTGTTATATTTTGATTAGCCTGATTTGTCTGTTCTTTCTTTTTGTCTTAGCAGTAAAAAGAGAATTTCCACAATTTTTGAATTTTGAATTTTTCGACCACACTAAATTGTGAATCAAAACAAACTCATCAGCCAGTTTTGCAGCTTCTGACAAAGTGTCAATTTTTTTATCTTAAATATGCACTTTGACATTAAAAGGTGCCCTGTACAAAATTCTTCAATAAAAATGAGTTGTCCAAATTTCTCAAAGTCTTTGTACACAGATTTAGATCTAAGCATTTTTCTAGCTCTACTTCTTTGCATCTAACAAATTCAACATATAACTCAGTAGATAATTTAGTACTTTGTCTAAAATTTTGCCTGTATTTCTCTGAGATTTGCTCATATGTTTCTAAAATGTTCTTTTGACAACACCATAACTTGCACAGTCTTCAAGTCTCAAGTCTGAAAAAAACCTCAAGAGTTTTCCCTGTTAATTTTGATTGCAATAACGTAGACCATTTATCTCTGGGAGCTTCCATAAGTATACATGTTTTCTCCAAAACCAAAAAGAAACTATCCACATCATTTTCATTGAAAGAGGGAAGGTACTTACTAACATTGTTGACAGGTCAATCAAAGTACGGAGAATAGTAAAAAAATTCTTCAGTCTTCTCTTCCTTATCACCACTTAATAAAGTAAAACTATATTTCTCTCATGTATAAGAGATTTTCAAATGAAATAGAAGGCTACAAGTTACTTTATTTCTACAGATATTCACTGCTCCCAATGATTGCTACAATATTGTTTACAAATATGTTTAACAAAAGAATCTTAGAGCTGGTCATAAAATTTTTTCATCTCACCATACATCCTTTTATTTCATCAAGTTTTTTCAAAGCAGCCACATGACCTTCTGCTAGGTCTAGTACATGTATATAATCCCTCATTCCTGCAAAAGAGAAACTACCATTGCATCAAACAGTCCATTAGAAAAAAGTATAATATAACTATGTAAGCCATCAAACATGTACATAATCTTTAAAAAATGAAGACTGGTTGTTGTATTAAAAAGAAATGTCTTTTCAAAACAACTAATTGTTTTTTTACAAATTTATCAAAAATTTTACTATTTTTCCATTCACAAAACAAAAGAAAGAGAGCTGTACAATATCACAAAGTTTTTATTTACACAAATGCAAGAAAAAATAATGGAGTTATTTTTGAAATTTACATAAATTCACAAGTAAGATAAAAAAATAGTCCTGCTCATACAGTATAAACATATTCTAATTTTAACTCAGAACAAGCAGCAATGCATGCTACACCAACTTATAAATATTTTAATCTTTTGTGGCATTTTCTGGTAAAAATTGAATTCCTAACAATTATCAGACTTGCTATTAAGAGCAGATTTGCTCACAAAAAAAGGAGAGTAACTTTGATTCTAATACCTTAACTAAATTTTTATAATGCATGTGAGATATTGAGACTGGTCCAATTTAGCAAAAATGAACAGAACCTTTATTATTAGTCAAACAAAAAGAAAATACAATGTATGACAAAATCATAGTAAGATCTTTACTAGTTTGAGCTTAGTCCCACAGCTTTCACTTTCTTAAGACTGAACTAAAACATGACGATTTTCAAGTATGATCTACTCTTGAAGATTTTCTAGTAAAACTGGACTAAGAAAGTGCACCTGAATTCAACAGGTAAACTGTGTTTCTCTGTCCTGATGACAGCATCTCCTTGTGACCTTTGTTCTCTCACAGCATTAGTCAGCTGCTACATTTGGATAACATCATTTTCAGAGTAAACGATATTGTAGTTACTAATGCTTTCAACCCAGATACTGTATGATACTGCAATACTCTCTCACGCAGAACAGACATTATCTACTTTAATGAATAAAGAAACAAAGCAATTAGAACTAGAACAAGAAAATCTCCAGAACTATCTGAACCTTGTGTTTATGGTAAAAATGCACTAAATAATTTAAACAATTTTACTGGCCCCTCATGAGCGAGTGGGTTAAATGTTTGTTGAAAAAATAAAACCTACTCAATCCAGTTTTTATTAATTTGAACTGAAATTTTTTGGACATTTTTATTGGCTAAAAAAAAGGCAATTTCTATATTCCTTTAGCGTTGAGGCTGCAAAAAGTGATTTGAAATGGTAAGGTGACTGAAATCCATCAGCGCATCACAAGCTTATCAGCCAACCACAAGAAGCCACAAGATGAAACCCAGAAGTATTCAGGAACTATTTAGAACCACCATGGTAGATATTGTGCAGCAAGCCAAGTATAATCGAGTACAATATTATGCCTGTAGCTGCTTTCAAATTGTTCCTGTCTGCTCATCCTATTGCTGACTATTATGATGCTTTGACCTTCCCTACCAAATTGCAGGTGAAATTGATTGTATTTCATTTGAAAGCTAAACATAAAAAGGTCATAGCAGAAGCATAGAAGGTTGACAATTGCTTAATTAATAATGCTGAGAATGTGGCTTTATTGATATATACTGAATTTACAACCAGCAGGTAGACCTTAGTACTAGCTAGTATGGAGAGTTGAGGATGCTGTATTTCACTTAAAAATTTATCAAATAACAAACGAAAACTTGTCTCAAAAGAATATGTCCAAAACCACCCTCTTTGGGAGTTTCTAGATTGAGCTTACTTTTAATATTCAACAAATTGTAGTGTAAAGTTGTCCCTTGGCTCCTGAGGGATGTATTTAAAATTTCTGTATCACTAAAGAGCAGTAAAAAACATGATATACCTGAATATCACAATTTCCTCATTTTCTATTTAAGGCATGTCCTCAAGCTGACAATTAAATTTAAATTTAAAACTAATAACCTCTAAATTTGCAACATGGTCAAGTAACTTTACTTCACATGTTAACTTTACTTCATTCCTTAAAACACATACATACCACATGGACTTCCCTAACCCTTTAATGCTGAATTAAAACATGAAAATAACCCCTTTGAATTCAATTACATAAGAATGCTAGTAATATCATTTAACTAAGATTCTAAAATTAACATATTAACAATTAATAATACATTAAATATAAAAATATGAAAATTCCAAAGTTAGAATACACCATACCATAAATTGAACTCAAGGCAACACTTTAATTAATTGATCACATGCCTATATGAACAAAAATAAACTTTTTAACAATGAACTACACATCAGAATATCCTTTAATGTAGATAAAGCAATGTGTAAGCACATAATTACAATCACAAAAAGTTAAACTATAAAGAAATATAGAAAGCACTAAAGAAAATGCAGAGATACTCTGTCCACTTTAAAAGTAGAAAATTTTACAAAACAACAATAACAAAAATAAATTAATCATTAAATTAAAATAAATGGAAAGGAAAACAGAATAAAAACCCTTTAACAATAAAACATATTAATTTTAGCTTTACCAATGACTTTAAGCTTTCCCTCTCACAAAAGGGGCAGTCTGACACAAGACAAAGCCTGAAACTAATCCTGCTTCTATCTTCTCAAGACTATGGTGTTCCTTGGGACACACCAACTGCCACGAAGCTCTTCTTTTTGCTTTGAGATGTAAGGGTCTTTCGAGAAATATGACCACATCTGACAATGTCTTCTAGTGGTAGTGGCACATCCTTCAGTGGGGCAGGTCACTGGACCTTGTTGCTCCTCAGGTTTCATCTCCTCCTTTGGCTGTATCTGGAGTGACAATGAGGAAGGTTGCTGGACAGTCTGAAGGTTAGGCCCTACAGGAGTTATACTGGTGGTGTCCTCTGCAAATAACAACATCTGCTATGAACTCTCCCATGTAGATGTGTTGGCTAGCAATGCATCTTCATTTATGGACTCAAGCACCATGTAATTCAGGTGAAGCTTAGACATTCTATCCTCAGTGGCATAATATACTTTATCATTCACAAGTCCTCAAGTTTTCTGAACATGTGTTCTATGGGTGTGAATACATGTTAAGCCTATAGATGGTACACTTTACAAGTACCTAGTTCACAGTGGTAACTGAGCATTAATATTCTTCCTAAACTATGCACATGGCTGTATCTTTGACCAATTAGAACTCACTCAACCTGTGCATTTGAATACACACTTGCAGTATTTAAGGTCATGTTCCAGTCACAATCAGCTTGTTTTTCATTAACTAATCAGTAGTTTTTCTGTCTTGCCCAATTTTGAGAAGCCATTTGTTTACAGAAATGGAACCTTGCTGTTCTTCTAACTGTGAAGCCACCACATTCTTGCAGGGAACAAAAAACTTCTTCGTCAATTCCTTAGTCTTTGGGTTTCTGCTTGACCAGAATTTATGACCATGTTGCTCTCAGTTGCCCTTGCCAGACAATGGGAACTTCCATGCCAAACTCTCTGATCTGTCACTATTCCTAGTCTACTATCTGGTTGTTAAACATACACCACAGTAGGTATGAAAAAGGGTCAAGACTGCTCAGGTCCTATGCAAACGAGCTGACTTCAGTTACATGATGCTAATCTCACCTTTAATCATTTGCCTTTGCTAACATCTTTATGTCTTTTCTTAGGGACTTACTTCCAATTACAAATTGTGCAACAGTTCCTTATTACACATACAGCTTGCATTTTCATGCTTCCAAACTATATTTCATAGTGAAACAAATTTAAGAAAATATTTGCTTACTAAAAATATTTCAATCTGCATAACTTAAAATATTCCTAACAGAACCAAACAAAACATTCAGTACACCATGTGTGTTCATATGTTATGATATCTTAGCCATTATTCATGAATTTCATGTACCACTAACAATTTCACCCACTTATTAATATTTCAACTTGATCAAGCCAAAATATCCTTGCACTACGCTTCAGAAAAACACCAGGAAAACTCTTCTTCAAAATCTCAGGTAAAACCATGTATTCTCTCTCTTGCCATAGTGCGAGTCTCTTTGTTACTGTTGTCTCTTCCACCTGCAGAGCATTTCAATGTTGAAATAGAAACACTTCCTCAGTATTAATAAAGATAACAGATACACTATATTTTCCAGTAATAATTCCAGGTTATTCTTCACAGTTAACCTAATATTCATCAATTCTTAATGTCAAGGAAAAATACTCTGTCTCCATGCTTTCATTATTTTCTTCTTATTTATCACCATACTCTTTGTGTAATTGGTTCATGTTTGTTAAACTGTCTTAAAAACACCCATGAATGACTATCTAATGTTTTTTACAGCATGTGGTCCACATGTGTACCTGTTTACGTATGCATATTGCCATACACCTATGTTGCCATTATGTTTTATCAAGTACTCCAGCTACAGAATGAACCACTTTGTTAACATTCAAATTACCTACTGATGATGCTCTTGGTAGTGTGAAAGTAGTGTCATCTGAAGGCCATCAAGTTCCAGTAATTTTTATTTCAGATTTCACAAATAAATAATCTCTAGTAAAATCTGGTTGAATTAAAAACTAAAATCTATTGTGCTATTACTACTGTATCTCCAACAGTGCTCCCTTGGTGATCATAGATTTGGTGCATTTTTCCACAATGATTAATGAAAAATCTAGTGGGTACTGGGTGGTATGTTCTGCATAGTTCACAATACTCAACTAGTTTGTCAGAGTAATTTTCTATACAGATTGGATGTCATTTCACATCAGAAAAATTTCACTCAGTTTGTGCTAAGAAAGAAAGGGTTGCAATTGCCTATCAATCACTGATTTTTCACTCATGTCATTGTCCTAACTGTTAATAATACAACTGAACAACTTATGAGCAGTGATTATGTTGATTAATGTCATGAAAATAAATTAATTCAATTGGTGTTTCCAATTATTTCAACAAGTAGTATGACTGTATAAGTAACAACTTTTAAAAGAATTTGGAAAACATGCATTCTTTTTACCAATGCTATAATATCTTTTTTCTAAATATGATCT